TAGGATAATTCGTTGTATTAGACCTGTTTATACAACCTTTTTTTTTATTTTACGAATCCGTTGTATTAGATCTAGTCTAATACAACGAATTCTTATATCTAATACAACGGTTAGTATAAACCGTTGTATTAGACCTGTTTTAGTATAAACTGTTGTATTAGCCTAGTCTAATACAACGGTATGAAATTAGCCGTTGTATTAGCTAATTTTGTACCGTTGTATTAGACTAAAAATATAGTAGTGGTGGTACTTGGTTTATACTCTCTATATCCCTATTTTTTTTGCCCCATTGGCTCTGTGCACGGTCTCCAAGACGCGTCTTGAAACGCAAATTAACTTTATTTCTATACGTGTAAAAATTATAAAAACTTGATATTAATAAAATATACAATGAGATAAATCCAACAAAACCCCACATGACTATATTACCTCTTATTGATTAATGGGAATTGGTCAAAGTTTTCGAGGTTTGACCCCATTAGGTTGACCATTAGTACCGGGGTTCCCCCGGTGTGAAAGCAGTTGATTTCGTAGTTTTAGAACTCTGCTGATCCCAAGTACTCCATACCTATCATTGCATATTAGAATATAGAAAGTAAAGAAGAATTGCAATGGGGCAAAAAAGTAGGGACAGAGAGAGTATATGATAAAGAGAACATTACACTTCTTTGTTTTTTCTGATTTTATTGTTGTACTACTTTCGTTTCATATTATTTGCAACGTTTAGACACTTTTCACATATTCTTTATGTCAAATCGTTGCAAATAATATGTAATAGAGGTGGTATAAAACTGATTGATTTATTCTTGAATTCGAACCTAAATAATGCTTTCTATCAATTTCTCTGTTTTTTTTTTTGGAAATTCTATGCAACATCTTTCTTCAGTCGGGTGATAGAAACAAGATAGGAAAATACTGAAACACTCCATGTTCTAGGATGATTTTGTCATTGTTTTCGAAGTTTGAATAAGAGTCGCCAAGCTTTAACTATATAGAAAGTATACTAACAACTGAGAAAATTCGCCAATTAGGATAAAAAAAGATGCACTCTAAAATTAGCACAACAAATTTACTTAATACATCAAGAACAACACAACTATAAATTGAAACTAGTATTTAAAATGAAACAAAAAAAACTTTAAAGAATATATAATAAATACTACCCTTATGTGCTATAACTATAACTATAACGAAGTAGATTTTATGATGAGCTATAACTACGAATGCTTACAAAGAGGGAGTGGAGCACCACAAAGACCAGGATTACCAAAAAATGCTGAAGCAGGAAATTTATTCTTATGTGCTGGAATTTTACCATTCAGTTTATTTCTTATAACTTCAAATACTGCTAAATTTTCCAAATTTATCACATTCTTTGGAATATTTCCACTCAAGTAATTCCTAGACAATTTGATTGTCTTAAGTTCCTTAGCATTACCAATTTCTTCAGGGATTGTCCCTGTAAGCCGATTGCGCACCATTTCCAGCACTTGCAATCGCGTCAAGTTCCCAACCGACTTGGGTATCAATCCTCCCAATGGATTATTTGACAAGATCAATGAAGTGACCGAGTCCATCGCCAGCTTGTTACCAACATTTTTATCAATAGGACCTATGAACATGTTGCTAGACACGTCGATAGAGTTGTAATGCCCTCGTGGTTCATCCACATTCTTATCGAAAATATTATCCAAGGGGGCCTGAGAACTTGTTTGAGTGAAGATCAAGGTCTGAAAGTAATGAAAGATTCTTGAGTTCTTTTGGAATGGTAGAGTAGAACTCATTATAAGATATGTTTAGGAACCACAACTCGCTCATGTTCCCTATCCATGGAGGCAACTTCCCTGTGAGCTTATTACTCGATAAATCAAGATAACCTATAGATGATGAAGAAAACCAGCGAGGTAACTCACCTTTAATCCCTGTCTTTGCCAACATTAGCCAAAACAGATTTAACTTGGACAGCCAACTTGGAATTTTCACTAGACCAAGTGGATTATATGAAAGATTAAGAACTTGCAAATCTTTAACTTTAGTAAGTTGATAAGGGACTGGTCCTATAAGTTGATTTTTCGACAAATCTAAGCTCATGAGGCTCTTTAGATTGCCAAAATTTCGCGGTATTTGGCCTACAAACCGGTTATTTGCAAAAACCATAGTGATTAATGTAGTAAGATTCCCTAGACTTGATGGTAGATTGCCTGTAATCATATTATTCTCTAAGGAAATGTATTGGATTTTTGGAAGATTACCAATCGAATTCGGTAAAACACCAGTTAATCTGTTGTTACTAAGACTAAATGCTTGCAATGAAACAAGTTTTCCTATCGAAGACGGGATTGGTCCAGTGAGTTTGTTATGGCTAAGAGACAAATCTTGTAGTTTGGAGAGTTTACCTATAGAATCAGGTATGCTTCTACTAATACGATTAAGTGACAAATGCAAACTGTTAAGACTCTTTAGTTTGCCAATTTCGAAAGGGATCTTACCGGAAAGTTTGTTATCATGGAGTGTAAGACTAGTTAAAGAAATCAAATCAACAATCGAAGATGGTATTGGGCCGGAAAACTGATTTTCTGAAAGTTCCAACTCTGAAATCGATCTCAACGATTGAAAAATCGAGTCAGGTATGGTCCCGGAGAGGCGGTTTTGGCTAAAGTAGAGCTTTTTTAGCTTACTAAGGTCACTAAAAAAGAGGGTAGTGAGCCATTTAGTTTATTAGTGTTTAACAAAATATTGGTTAAGTGAGATAACTTACCTAGTTGAGGTGGAATAGGACCAGTTAATTCCTTAAGGTTGCTAAGGTCAAGGAGTTGAAGATAGGTGAGGTTACCTAGGAAAGGGGAGAGTGTACCTGACATGGAGGTGTCTAATATGAAGTCATCTCCTGATTGGACTCCGGGGCGGGACACGTTTACTACTCGTCCGTTAGCGGGGTTGCAATCGACACCCTCCCACACGGTGCAGCAGTCCGTGTTGGGTAGCCATGTACGGAGGAGTTGTGATGGGTCATGGGTTATTTTGTGCTTGAAATCAAGCAATGCTTCTTCGTCTATGGCATGACAGGATTCTACTGATTGGGGATAGTATGTGTTAATCAAGAGTATGATGTAAAAGAGAGGAAGAAAGTTTATGAAGAATTTCATTATTGAGAAGTGAAGGTTTTTAACATTGAATCTGATGTGTATTGGGAGAAATTAGTCATCTATTTATAAACTAGGAAGTTGGTTATTACAAGAGGGCAAGGGTGGGATTGAAGTAAACAACAACTAAGAAAAAAAACCACATGCCCGTAGAATAGAATAGTACAAGTGTTACTGCTTCTAGAATTGGCACGTGTTGTAGTTCGTGTAAGCTTGTTGTTCATGATTTGGATTAATCATATTAGTTTAGTAAACAAGTTGTCAATACTTAATGGTAAACTCAACTAGTTTGTTTATTAAACAGGTCTCTTGATCCATTTATGTAATATTTATTGTAGCCTAATTAGCAAAGAACCAATAAAAGGGGTTATAGTATTGGGTTTGGATTTGAAAGTCCAACCCTAACTCAACCCACTGAATAAATGGGTCAAACCAATGACTTCAAAGAGCTGAGAGACTTAACTCAAATCTGCTGGATATGTGCCGGTTGTAAACTTAATTGTAATGTATGAAGTATGTAGGTGGTTAAGTGCCACTAATAATCACATTCTTTTTTTAATTAATAAGCCTTTGAATTGACTTATGGTCGGTATTATTAAGCGTACTAATCTGATCTGCCTTTGAATTTGACTTACTAATCTGCGTTATATATTTGTGGAGTGTGATAAGAATGATGACAGTACAATTTACGGATTTCTCTCCCATTCCACGTGAAAGGATTGGCGGATTACAATAATTATTAATACAATTATTGGTCAACGATTGCCTAAATTAGCTCTTTCAAGTATTGGTCAACAATTGCCTAAATGAGTTCGGGTTGGGTCAAATTTCAAACTTGAGTCATGCAAAGTTATTGTGTCAATGCGAATCGAAATCTGAATCGAATATTTTCCGAGTCTGTTTCGGATCGGGTCGGTTGGGTCAGGTTTCGACACCTTTAATGTTGACACTTTAGATAAAATGTATAGGTGCCCCCTTTTATTTACTTTCCACTTATGATTTTAGCTATGTTCAATTTACATGATCTGAACCGGTTTTATATGTTATGATATGATTTTCAAATTATATCATTATATAAACTAATACGTAAAATTAAAACCTACGGAATATCAAAGAGATGTCATTAGATTCATATATATTATTATTATGTGCTTTCCAAATATAAATTTTTTTATATTTTTAATTAATTTAACGACATAAAAGATTATTAACGAAAACTAAACTCAAATAAAAAGACAAACATGATCTGGTCTAATTATTTCTAAAATAATCTACAATCAACTTTCAATTAATTTTTATCACATATGATATTATTTAAAAAATTAAAATCATATTAAGTGTTAGGCCCCGTTCACTTCACCTTATTTTTGCTGAACTGAAATTAATTTTACTGAACTGAAATTATTTTTGCTGAACTTAAATTATTTTTACTGAACTGATTTTAATTTTGCTGAATTGAAATTATTTTTACTGATTCTCTATTATATTTCTTCTTTAAAGTTACTGATTTTTGCTGAAATGAAATTAATTTTATTGAACTGAAATTAATTTTACTGAACTGAACAGTTTGCTGAATTGAAATTATTTTTACTGAACTGATTTTTTTTTTTTAAGGTGACCTGAACAGGGCCTTATTTGGTAAATTCCATTGGCGTTATATACAGTGCTTTTTGACAAATTTTCCAAAACATAAATGATAAAAATTCTGTCTTTAAATTAAGGTTATAAGAGTTTAACATGAGATGATCTTAAAGTGTTTTGACAAGCAACTTAAATCCGTGAATTTGATAGAGGGGCATCGACAATTTTAGACTAAAAATAGTGTAGGATAAACATAGTAGTTATGGAACATATATTAGGCAAATTCACAATATATAACTTATGTCATTAAAGTTCAAATTCACAATCCCACAGTTACAATTTCAGAATAACAAATAGTAAGAAGTATCAAGTACAAAACGTAATTAAATTGTAACTATGAATCATAATATCGTTAGTTTGAGCTACCTAAACTTGCTTACAAGCAGGAAGTGGCAAACCACAAAGACCAGGATTACCAAAAAATGCTGAAGCAGGGAAATTAGCCTTATGTGCTGGAATTTCACCACTCAATTTATTTCTTAACACTTCAAACTTTTCTAACCACTTTAGATTAATCACCATCTTTGGAACCCTTCCGGTTAAGTAATTCCTCGAAAGTTTAATAATCCTCAAAGTATCAGCATTACTAATCTCTTCTGGAATCGTCCCTGAAAGCTTGTCACGGACCATCTCCAGCAATCGCATTTGGGTCAAGTTCCCAATGGACTTGGGTATCCGTCCTCCCAATGGATTATTTGACAAGATCAATGAACTTATCGTGTTCATGGCGAGCTTGTTTCCAACATTTTTGTCGATAGGACCTGTGAATTTGTTTCTAGAAACATCGATGGTGTTGTAATGTCCTAGTGGTCCATCGACGTTCTTGTCAAAAATAAAATCCAGGGGACCTGAGAAGTTGTTTGAGTGAAGATCAAGGTCTGTTAGTAATAACATGTTCTTGAATTCTTTTGGAATGGTGGAGTAGAATTTGTTATAAGATATGTTGAGGTACCACAAGTCACTCATGTTCCCTATCCATGTAGGAAACCTCCCTGTGAGTTCATTACTCGATAAATCAAGATAGCCTAATGGTAAGGATGACAACCACGAGGGTAGCTCGCCTTTGAGCCCCGTCTTGGCTAGCATTAGCCAAGAAAGATTTAGCTTGGACATCCAACTAGGTATTTTTCCTAGAGAAAGTGGATTGCACGACAAATCAAGTATACGAAATAATCTTAATAAGTGTACGAGGAATTGGACCTACTAGTTGATTTTTTGACAAATCTAGTTCCCCGAGGTACTTTAGATTGCCAAAACTACTTGGTATTTGGCCTAAAAATTTGTTATTTGAAAAGATCATTCGAGATAATTCTGATAGATTTCCTAGACTTGGTGGTAGATGACCTGTGATCATATTGTTCTGTAAGTTCATATCAAAACAGTTCGAAAGATTGCCAAGGGAATCTGGTAAAACACCGGTCAATTTATTGTCACTAAGATCTAATACTTGCAAAGATGCAAGCTGTCCTATTGAAGATGGGATCGGTCCAATAAGTTCGTTTATGTTAAGGGACAAATATTCTAATTGGGAGAGTTTACCTATAGAATGAGGTATACTTCCAGTGATACGATTCGATGTCAACAATAAGTTTGTAAGACTCTTTAGTTTGTCAATCTTGTAAGGAATTCTACCGGAAAGTTTGTTGTATTGGAGTGAAAGCTTAGTTAGCGAATTCAAGTTTGAAATCGAAGATGGTATTAGGCCAAAAAATTGATTTTCTGAAAGATCTATTTCCAAAATTGAAGTCAATGATTGAAAGACAGAGTAAGGAAGGGTACCAGAGAGGCTATTTCGGCTTAAATAGAACTTTTTTAACTTATGGAGGTAACTAAAAGAAGAGGGTAATGAACCATTTAGCTTATTATTTTATTATTGGTTAAGTGAGACAACTTACCAAGTTGAGGTGGTATCGGACCACTTAACTCGCTAAGGTCGCTAAGGTCGAGGACTTGAAGGTAGGTGAGGTTGCCTAGGAAAGGGGAGAGTGTACCTGACATGGAGGTTTCCATGGCGCTAGGGCGAGAAACTTTTATTACTCGTCCGTTGAAGGGGTCGCAAGCAATGCCCTCCCATGCGGTGCAGCAGTCCGTGGTTGCGAGCCATGAGCCGAGGAGCTGTGATGGGTCATCAGTGATTCTATGCTTGAAATCAAGCAATGCTTCTTTGTCAATAGCATGACAAGATTCTACGAATTGGTAAAAATTTGTGTGAACCAAGAGTACAACGTAAATTATCGGAAGAAAATTTATGTCATTCAACATGATTAACGTGTACAGAATTGTCCAAGTTTAGTTTTAGCAATGAATTTGATGCGTTTATGGAGAAATTATGCATCTCATATAGTGAAGGTTAGAACGTGGGTTGTTATGTTGGGCAAATGGAAGTAACACAAAGGGAATAGATTACTACTAGTTGAGTAAGATTATTCTATTTTGTGATCAAGTTGCTTCTATTCAGATTTTATTTTTATATAATGTAAACAAGGGGGTGTTTATTTATTGATTAATTGCTTCTAGATGGATTTGAAAGTATTTGATTTTTCTCAGCTTTTGACACTTTTGACAAGGGAAAAAATTGTGTACTACCTCCGTTCCAAGTTAGATGCAACTTTCACCTTGGCATGGATTTTAAAACAAAATTTCATAATAGATTAATGAATCAAAGGATAGATAATTAAGGGTAGGAGAGAGAAAGTGAAGGTAATTAATAAATTAAATACCACCAGGGCACCACCAACAGCAGCCACCCCGCGACTGTTGCCCAACAACAGCCACACCAAAACCGCCCAACAACAGCATGAAACCACCCCCTCTCAGCGATAACCACCTAGAAACCACCCACACGCACCTCGAACAACCCTAAAACCACCCCCTCTTAGCCTGAACAACCTCAAAATCACCCTCTCTCAACCCAAACGACACGGAAACACCTCCTCTCAACTCAAACCACACCGAAACAAACCCCTCTCAGCCGAACCGCCCCAAAACCACCAACACTCACCATAAACCACCACAAAACAACCACCCTCACTCAGCCCCAAAACCACCCACACTCACCCTAAACCAACCCAGGCCAAAACTGCCCTTACTCATCTTGAACCACACCGAAACTACCCCAAACTAGCCCATTCTTCCATCAAACCATCAAATCTAAATAATTTAAAAAGAAAAAAGGGGAGAGAGAGAGAGAGAGAGAGAGAGAGAGAGAGAGAGGGACACTGGAGGAGGAGGCGACGACTTTGAATATGGTGATGAGCATCGACAACGTTGACGGGGGTAGTAAATGCAGCGGCGACGACAACGTTGAGATTGTGGTGTTCAGACATTTTCGTGGGAGTTATCCAATTGAATGAATTTTTGGAATTAAATTGTTTTATTTATGTTTTAGATATGAGTAGGGGTGGGACTTTTCAAACCGAACCGTGAAACCGCCCGTTACCGAACCGAACCATCACGTACCGATCCGTTTATAAACCGATAAATATAAACCGAAAACCGAACTGAACCGTTCAATATCAAACCGAAACCGAATTGAACCGCTCAATGTCAACCCGTTACGGACCGTAAACCGATAACAAACCAAACTGCGCAAATCCGAACCGAAACGAAACCGAACCGAATGGTTTATAAACCCGTTAATGACCCGAACCGTTTATAAACCGAAATCGTTTAAACCGAAAAAAACCCGTTTAAACCGAACCATTTGTAACCCGCTAACCGTTTAAACCGACCCGTTTATGAACCGAAACCGTTTAAACCGCACGTATAAACCGAACCGTTATAATCCGCTAACCGTCTAAACTGAACTTCCATAACCCGTTAAACCGTTAAAATCGAACTGTTTTCGAATCGCAACCTGTTTAAACTGATCCGATTACAAACTGCTTAACTCAAATTGAATTATTTACAACCTAAATGGCTAAATAGTAAATACAATTAATGTTAATAAATGTAGATCTAATCAAACGGCTTAGGTTTAAACAAAGGTTTATATCACCTAGATCTAGGCCAACGACATTATTAATATCGTTTTAGATTACTTATTTATTTTAATTACAAGATATATCATTTGTATCATTTTCATTCCAGTAATAATGCTAGTCCACCCAAATTATCTTCATTGTTCCTTGCTTCATGATCATCCAATAAAACTCAAAACCTCAAAGGTAACATAAGATTGGAAATGTATGAGATTGCATTACACAAGTGGCATAAGCATTAGAATATTACTGTACTAGTCAATAAAGCGTGCAATCATTCACATTATCACTTTATAAAACTTTCTTATACAAGTATTTTGTAAAGGGGAGGACTAAAATGTTTATAAAACACATTTTTTTAGCTTTTCTTATATTAAACCAGATATTAAGTAAAAGAATTTTAATAAATACGGAGGCATCCTAAATCTGTAGCCACAATTATTTCATAACATTACCACAAATCCAGCAGATAAATAGCATTGAAATTAGAGTAATATCAACAAGCAATTAAAAAAAGTCACCATTTTCATTGATTAAAATTCACAATACATATACCAATACATAATGAAACTACTATCACTACTACCCAGATTAGATTTCAGATTTATCAACTGAAACATCATCAAGTTTACGGTTGCAAAAAATGATACATTATAAGATGAAGGGAGGAGTGAGAATGTGAGTGATTTGGGAGCAGAATCTTGAAGCAGAATCTTGAAGCAGCAGCACAGCACCCAAGAGCAGAGGAAATAGCAGCAACAAGCAGGAACCAGCACACAAAATAACTAATCAGCAACTTATCAGAAGCAAGGAATAATATAAGCAGAAGGGACTCAGCAGGAACTTATTTTTGTTTTTCAAAATTGCTCTCAGATTTACGTTTATCGTATCATCACTGAGCAATGGCTGTTTTAACTTAAAACTTGAAAAATGCTGCCAGCAAGTACATATACATTGAAGTCTCAACATAAATGACAAGGGCAACGATGATTCAAGAAAAATTAAAACAGCAAGCATAAGAAACAGCAGCAACAAAACTTATCATAAATTCATAACACAAAAGGCAGCAATACAACACCTCAAGCTGGCAGGAGGCAGGAACCAGCTCATGCAGGCAACAATATAGGCAATAACAACTCAGCAGAGACAACAACCAAAAGGCAAAAGCACTACCAGCAGGCAGCAGCTCATAACAAGTTCAAGCAACTTCAAAATTATAGCTTTTGTTTTTTTAAAATTGCTCTCAGATTTACATTACTGAGCAATGGTTGTTTTAACAAAAACTTAAGAAATGCTGCCAGCAAGTACCAAAATACATTTAACTATTTAAGTCTCAACATAAATGACAAGGCCAACGATTTTAAAAGTCTTGAAAAATGCTGCCAGCAAGGCTGAAAATAAATGACAAGGGCAACGATTTTAAAAGTCTTGAAAAATGCTGCCAGCAAGTCTGAAAATAAATGACCAGGGAAACGATTTTTCAAGATAAAATAAACCACAATGAGACACAAATACCAGTTATGCAGATGAAGCACTTTCGGCTTCAATCTCTTTACCAATAAGGAGGACGTCTTCCTCAACATCCGCTTGATAACCACGGCACCAATTTTGGGTGGTAACCAATGCCTCAACATTCTTTGGCAAAAGTTTACCCCTATATCCTCAAAAAGAAAAAAGCATACATAAGAAAAGCTTAAACTTTTTCAAAAGTTTCCAATGAAATTATGAACCTATAAATAAACATGAGATGTTTATTTTACTAGCCCTAAACTAGCATTTATTTTATGCACATAACTGCAGAAAGTGACACAATTTGGTCTTTTGTTAGGTAAAAAAGCCAATAACCACATAATCTGAACAACCCATCATCATTACTTTCAAATCGAGCATAATAAACAACAAAACAGCATAAATCTACCATTTTCCCGTAAAAAAAACAAAAATACAATCAACAACAGATTTTAGGCATATTTCGACTATATTCAAGCAAGAACAACAACAATAATCAAATACAAAAACAGAAAAACTGTATTAAAAAAAAAACGAAAAGGAAAAAGTAATTACCTTTGACGGCTTGAAGGAGATTTGAAGATGGAGAACTGCCTGAACTGGAGATCAAAAGAAAAAATCAAGAATGTAGATTATCAGAACTTGAAATAAAAAAAAAAAAACCGAAACGAAAACGAAAAAATTAACAAAAAAATTACCTTGAGGTATGACGGCTTGAAGGAGAGGAAGATTTGGAAAAAAAAAAAACGAGAATGGAAAAGTTAGAAATCAGAACTTTGGATCCAAAACAAAAATGAAACGAAAACAAAAACCCTAAATAAAAAAAGTAAAAAACCGAAACGAAAACGAAAAAAATCAAAACGAAAACAACAAAAATTAACAAATAATTACCTTGAGGTTTGACGGCTTGAAGGAGAGGAAGATTTGGAAAAAAAAACGAGAATGGAAAAGTCAGAAATCAGAACTTAGATCCAAAACAAAAATGAAACGAAAACAAAAACCCAAAATAAACAAACCGAAACAAAAACGAAAAAAATCAAAACGAAAACAACAAAAATTAACAAAAAATTACCTTGAGTTTTGAACTTTTGACGGCTTGAAGCCTTCAAATTGAAGGAGAGGAAGATTTGAAAAACAAAAAAACGAGAATGTAAAGCGAGAAATCAGAAATGTAGATCCAAAACACACAATGAAACGGCAACAAAAACCCTAATTAGGATTTTTAAAAGTTGAGAAGTTGAGCTTGAGATTCTTGAGAATTTCAGAACGAAAGAGTGAGAAACGAGAAGTTAGAAAGAGAAACTATGAGTGAGTAAAACGGCTGAATGGCTGAAAGAGTGGGTTTTTTTTTCTAGGTTTAGGTTTTACTTGTTCAGTTGATCTAACCGTCCATATTCAATCTCAACATCTAACCGTTCATTTTTTTTTTTGTAGATTCCAGAATATTCATCTAGATCTAACGGTCTAGATTTTTCTATGTGCTTTTCTAGGTCTTTTTGACCGTTTTTTTTAATTATTTATTATTATTATTATTATTTTGAGGGATTATTATTATTATTATTATTATTATTATTGTTAGTATAATTATTTGTTAATATTATTATTATTACTAGTTTACTACTACTATTATTATAATATTATTATAATTATTATTATTATTACTATTATTATTATTATTATTTATTATTTATTATTAATTATTATTATTATTACTACTATTATTATTATTATTAGTTTATTACTTATAAGTTATAAATTGTAAGAAACGCAAATGTTTCAAAATTGAAATTGATTCAATACGACATAGTTAATGACTTAATGAGTTAATGCACATCAATATCTGACATCTCTATATGTATATTATATATATCTGTGAGTTTGTGACTGTATATCAGTATATATATAATAACTTAATAAGTAATACTAATAACTAATAAAGTAATGAAAATCTAACCATTGTTTTTCATGGGCATTTAATCTAACCGTTGTATATTTGACTATTCGTACATTAGTATTGCATAATGATTTCATCACCACTTTAATTAGTGATTTCGTGATTTCGTCCATTTAACTTATTAAGTTGTTTGAGTTAGTAATCTAAATAAAGTAACAAACTAAATAACGAATCCATTTAATCTCGTGTAAGTTATAATTTATAAGAAATGCAATGTTTGGAAATGGAAATTGATTCAATACGATATTGTTAATGTATATGTAATTATAGATTAATTATTATGTATATCATATCGTACGAATGTACGGTTGGTATCATTATCATACTATCATAAGTATCATTGCCTCATTGAATTATTGGTATGTACTACAATCGATAAACATATTTACATATCTGATCATTAAAACTTAAAAGTTTAAAACACTTGTTGATCAATCTAATTGAATACTTGTACATTCTTAATTATCGATTTATTGTATTATAAGTATCAACTCATTAAATCATGGTCATGACGCGATCTTTAAAACAATCATGAATTCATGACCCAAACCGCTTATAAACCGAACCGACATGATCCAAACCGTTCATAAACCGAACCAATTGAACTGTGTAAACCCTCCACTAAACCGGCCCATTTCAAACTGAACCGACATGATTCGCACCGTTTATAAACCGAACCGATATTGACCCGGGTAAACCCGCCCCTAAACCGACCCATTTCAAACCAAACCGGCTTGATCCAAACCGTTTGTAAACCGAACTGACATTGACCCGGGTAAACCCGCCCCCTTAACCGACCCGTATCAAACCGAACCGACATAATCCGAATCGTTTATAAACCGACCCGCTTATGACCCAAACCGAATTTAAAACGCAAAGAAATAAACCGAAACCAAACCGAGTCGTGACTAACCCAAACCGAACCAAACCGACCCGCCAGCTAAACTAAACCATTTCAATCCGAACCGCTTCAAACCGAAACCGACTCAAACCGAACCGCCAGACCGAAGTCCCACCCCTAGATATGAGTTAAACTAGGTGAAAATATTATGTTATAAGTTAGATTAGGAGTTTAATGAAATCTGATTTAGATAGTTAATTGTGTTTATGAGTTTTTTAGTAAGGGCTTTTTTGTACTTTCATTTTAAAAAACTTACTAGAATAGGAAAAAAAAATGAAAAGTTGCAACTGATGTGTAGCACCCCGTTTTGACAAAAGTTGCAATTAATGTATAACGGAGGTAGTACAAGGAATACTTTTTAAAAAAACCATTTGTTGCCTCAATTTACACAAGACTACGGGTGGGTAAGGAAATTCTATCTTGGCAAAATGGGTCGTTATCTAGTAAAATAAACTGATATGAAATTTAGAATATCCGATCTGGTTTATAATAATTTGAATATTTTGGATTAGATGTTTGTAAAATTGGATTGAATTTGAATATTTCAAATATTTGAATCACATGGTTTAAAAATAATTAAGTTTTCCAGTACACCTAAAGTATACCTGGTATCCTTCGAGTGTTGTTGAAAAACCTCATTACGGTAACACCATATGATTAATTTATACCCATCTCCGCTTCCAAGAATAAAAGGCACCTGACGCCTTTTCTTTAGGTAGAAGCTCCTGTATAAAATATCAAGGTCATAATTAATACAAGGTCATAATTAATACGGAGTAATATATTGTAACCATAAAACATATTGTATCACTATCAAAGTATGCAATTTAGATGGCACACTCGGATGTAAAATATGCTAATTTTGCACCTAATTACATATGATAACCTTCAATTAAAGGCAAAATTGGCCTTAACAACATGAATTTTTTTAATAAGGTGCACATAACAACATGAATTTCAACTAGTAGCTGCAGCAAGCAAAACTTCTTCATCATCAAGTGCATAAAATATCATAAATAAAACCCGATATTAGAGATTTAATCGAAGATGGAGAATTTTTAATACTCCATTTATTATATCAAAATCGCCTTTGCGTGCCTCGATTGGCCAGTCATGCGAGAAAATTGATATGTTCAGGTTTTAAGTGTCATTTTATCGCTTGAGGAACAATTTTAAGATCAAATTTAGCAAAAACATACAAAAACGCATCGATTTGTTGTGCTAAAACACCTTGGTTAAGGTTTTGGAGTCAATTAGGACCTTAAGGACCAAATTTTAACTAAAAAATGGCACAAAAAGCTTATTTTTAAGAAAATTAAAGATTCCCTATCTTTGATAAAATCTCAGGTGCCGGATATCATTTATTGCACCCAATTAAAAAGATTTTGGTGCTACTACACCTACTTGTCAAGGTCCGTACCGTGCACCTTGTTAAAAATTTATGCTATTGAAGCCAATTTGGCCTCAATTAAATGAAATATGCATGTTTTGTATGAAATGAAGACAATTCAGTATATTAAAGAACGCGCTAAATCATCAGCAGCCAAAAGAAAAACCAAAAAAAAAACATCAATTCAATTTACCTGTTGGCTAAGAAGTATAATTTGTACTTTGCATGAAGCTCGATTAAAACTTAGCAAATCCTTCAACATTTTGGTGTGTTCTTCGCAAGTATCTTTATGTATGGACTTGACAATCATCTTTCCTAAAGAAGGGGAGTTGATGAGTAGAAACTTTACTAATTCCATCTCGTGCATTGTTCTAGAGATTTCTACAAGATGTATCGATTTTACGTGTTGGAAGCATTTCGGAGGGTCTCCCATAGCCTTCAAGAATTCTTCTAGAGAAGGCAAGATACTGTATATAGAGTCCTTCACCTAAGAAAAATGAATGGAATGCTCATGAGAAACTAATAACTTTCCTTTCAATGACTTGGTAAAACGACGAAAAGCACCCTTCAACTTACATGAATTTCGAGGTATTGAAGGTTTGAGCAACTTCTAATCAGGCTAAACAGACTGGACACCATAACTAAATTTCCAGGAAACAATTCATATACCGTTAACTCCCGTAGATCAGGTAAGTTCTTAACCCGTGCTTCAGGGCAGTTTCCTGCAAGTAGATTCTTGACAAAATATATACTGCATCATCAAATACATAACTCGAAAATGATTAACAATGATACAAAGGTAAGAATGTTTGTTAGAGTCTAAAATACCTGTATCGATTCGCCATGGACCGTCAATTCTCTCAACGCTTTCAATTGAAAAAACGATTGAAAATAATCCACTGGTTCAAAATACTCCAATGATCTTCCATGAGTACCGTAAGGACAAAGGTAGAGGAAAGACAGTAAAGTAGCATTCTTGAGGTGAATAGACTCGAATGTTCCTTTCAAAACGCATGACTTGAGCATTGGAGCATTGATTGTTAAATCTAGAATCCCATCAACATCATATAGACGCAAATTTTCAAGTAAAGGGCATTGAGATATAAACATCTCAAAACATCTGTTACATGCATCAATGGCATTGCTCAAGTCAAGGGTCTTGAGCTTAGGTAACGCGATTATAGAAAGAGGAGACGTAAAAATGCAACATTGAAGGCGTAAAACTACAAGTGATTTGCAAGAAAATATGTAAGATGGGAATATATATGGAATATTGAGATTCCAACCCTCCAAGATTAATTCCTGTATCCCATGATCAAAAAGATAATACATCCATCTTATAAATTCATCAGGCACTTCATAATGACGATTTTTGTTAAACATGGTCATTTTAAACTTTTGAACATTACCAGAATGTCGGAACAGAACAGTGTTGATGATATTGCTATATTTATTGACAGCAGATTGATCATCAATCGCTGTAACAGGAATTCTGAGGCTTTCAAGATTAAAATTAAGAAATTGAATCGAAGTCCACTTGTACCGCCATTGTCTGGATAAGATACTAGTTTTTGCTGCTTCTTTGACACACATGCATTAAGATAGTTTCAATCAAATTGTCAGGAAAACTACTAAACTTGTCATGGTGTGAATTCTCAACTGCCTTCCTCGTCTTTTCCGATAACATGGTGTCTGAAACGCATTTACAAAACAAGGATAGTACACCCTAATGTAAAAAATGAGATGATCAACTGCGTGCTGAAACTAATCTACATCTACATAAACACCAAAGACGTACTAACAACAGTACACCACGGAAACACATAGATAATCGATAAATTTGTATTATGCAAACTACTATAATTTACAAAACAATTACTAGTATACAAAACGTGGTTTTTTTAGCATATAAATGTATATATGGCGCTATTGATAGGATCCTAAGCCACTTTTCCAAGTAATCTAATCAGCATGTTAAACAATTATGCTCTGCCCTCAAAGAAATTTAATTACATTACTCTGTTAAAATAAAAAATATACATATAAATTCATAACCTTATAAGAGCATCTCTAGTATAGCCGTGTATAGGGGCTCAAATAAGAGCCCTAATTGAACAAGTTAACCTAATCGAACAAGTTAACAAATAATTGAATTTGAGAACTCTTTTAAACAATATATATTATGAAATTGGTGTTTTAAACCTCATAGAAGTATCTCAAAATAAGACTTAGGTTTTGAGATTGAGGTCTCGAAGGGTGATAATTTAGTAGCCTGAACTTACAAACTACGATTAAAGTGAAGTGAATCAAAGTTGCCGCTTTAATTACCCTTGGCTAATTTAACAAACCAGCCATTAATTGGCTAAAGGTTCTTATTACTTCCTATTAAGATCATGTCCTATAGCCCTAATTCAAGAATATGTGACAACAAACACCACCCATATGGCAGCAACAAGATAGAGTATTGCAAGGAAAAATATATATAATTTTTTGTAAAATAAAATAAATAATAATGTATGATAGTACCTTGATTTTGTGAAATACGGAACAGATTTCCGAGGAGACGAAGAAGCTCTTGATAAAAACCTCATATATATAATGTGAAAATAATAGGTTTAATTCTTTTGTGAAAAAATATATATGCACCAGCCGGGAATCGAACCCGGGTCTGTACCGTGGCAGGGTACTATTCTACCACTAGACCACTGGTGCCTTTTTAATAACTTTGTGGTTATTTAATATTATAACAAAATTTTATAATTCTATAAGATCATTTGTTAATGTCAACCTCTTTTTTTTTTTTTTTTTTTTTTTTTTTTTTTTTTTTTTTTTTTTGACGAAATGCGAACTTTTAAAAATCTAATGGATTTGGCTGATGTGGAAGTAACTACCAAGTGGATGAAGAATAGTTACGTCAGCCCATACGAAAAAGATCAATTTTATTTTGTTCTTATCAAGTGAATAAGATTAATTTAATGTTAATATCTTAATTTAGGGGAAAATACATCCAATAAAGTACTAATGGTCTAATGCGTGTCTCCATCCTCATGTGTTGAGCACTTACGCTACTGCCATAGACTAAACACACCACATATTTCACAAATTATGGAACTTTGACTCAACTTCTTTAAGAAACCTAAGGTAATAATCAAATATTTTATCTATTTCTAAACACAAGCAATCTTTGACTAATTTACAATATTAATAATCTAACTTAAACTATATATTTATAATTAATTATATACATAGTACATTGACATTAACCCACCATCTATTAAACTCATTACATTTTTCACTTCTTTGTTTTAAAATTAAACTTTTGTTTCTATTCCATGGTCAAACTTTAAAATTTTGACCGCATATTTTCATTAATATATACAAAAATAACATGGTAATGCATGATATCGTTAGATATATAGGTCTTAATGTGTAGTTTTATAATCTTAACTTTTTTTTTTTAGATAATTTTTGTATTTAAAGATATTAATGGTTAAACATGTAGTTTGAAGATCACGTTAAATGAAATCAACTAAGCATCTGTTAGGGAGTATATTATTTTATATCTAGTGATACATAGTGAAATTCAACTCAACATGCTTTAAAACATGGTATGTGAGTTATTGAGTAGATTATTCGATATATAGTAATTGTCGCAGCATAGTCCATTATAAAAGCAGTATAAATGATTTGAAGTAGATTAATCAATACTTTAGGAGGAATAGTGGAATTATTTATGTTGTGTAAACTGTGAAGAGGTGAGTGGTATGTGGAAGATTTAATTAGCTTATCTTAGACCTTAGTCTTGCTCTGATCATTGCAAATATACCACTTTATTCAAAGTTTGCTATTTTAGTCTTTAATCGATCGCACTAAAAAAAAAGACACAAAGTCCTTTAATTTAATTATTAATTTTGCTGATTACATAAGTATTACAATTACACTTAAGATACAATTTTAAAATAAAAAAACTAATCTAAAATAAAATTTAAATCAGTTTAAAATTGTAAATAACGTCTATGAAAGCTTATTACAAGGAGGAAGTGGCACACCACAAAGACCAGGATTACCAAAAAATGCTGAAGCAGGGAAATTAACCTTATGTGCTGGAATTTTGCCACTTAATTTATTTCTTAACACTTCAAAAATTGATAAATTTTCCAAATTTATTATTTTTCCTGGAATACTCCCATTCAAGTAATTCCTTGACAATTTGATTGTCTTCAATTCCTTAGCATTTCCAATTTCTTCTGGGATTGTCCCTGATAACCCGTCGCGTACCAATTCCAATACTTGCAATAGTGTCAAGTTCCCTACCGAGTTTGGTATCGATCCTCCCAATTGATTATTTGACAAAATCAAGGAAGTAATCGAGTCCATAGCGAGTTTATTACCAACATTTTTATCAATTGGACCCGTGAACACGTTACTAGACACGTCGATAGAGTTGTAATGCCCTCGTGGTTCATCCACATTCTTATCGAAAATAAAATCCAGGGGACCTGAGAACTTGTTTGAGTGAAGGTCAAGGTCTGAAAGTAATAAAAGATTCTTGAATTCCTTTGGAATGGTTGAGTAAAATCCGTTATAAGATATGTTTAGGAACCATAACTGTGTCATGTTTCCTATCCATGTAGGCAACTTCCCGGAGAGTTTGTTGCTCGATAAATCGAGGTAGCCTATCGATGAGGAGGACAACCACGAGGGTAGCTCGCCTTTGAGCCCCGTCTTGGCTAACATTAGCCGAAACAGATTAATTTTGGACAACCAAGGTGGTATATTTACTAGACCAAGTGGATTGTAAGACAAATCAAGTACTTGCAAATCCTTAACTTTAGTAAGTTGATGAGGAACAGGGCTAACAAGTTGGTTTTTTCGACAAATCTAAGGCCATTAGGCTCTTTAGATTGCCAAAACTTCTTGGTATTGGACCGACAAACCGGTTGTTTGAAAATAACATGTTGATTAATGTAGTAAGATGTCCTAGACTTGGTGGTAGACGACCTGTGATCGTGTTGTTCTCTAAGGTTATATGTTGGATATTCGGAAGATTGCCTATGGTTTTTGGTAAAACACCGGATAATCTATTGTTAGCAAGGCCTAATACGCGCAATGAAACAAGCTGGCCTATTGAAGAAGGGATTGGTCCGGTGAGCTTGTTATAGTCTAGGGACAAATCGCGTAATTGGGCTAGTTTATCTATAGAATAAGGTATGTTACCTCCAATTTGATTCAATGACAAATCCAAATCTGTTAGTCTCTTTAATTTCCCAATGTTGGAAGGGATCCTACCGGAGAGTTCGTTTTTATGAAGATCTAGCCTAGTAAGTTGAACCATATTAACAATTGTAGATGGTATTGGACCAGATAGTAAGTTTTCTCCAAAACTCAATTCCAATATCGATGTCAATGATCGAAAAATCGAGCTTGGTATGGCACCAGAGAGGCTATTTTGGCCTAAATATAGTGCCTTTAACTTATGTAAACCACTTAAAGAAGAGGGTAGTGAACCATTAAGCTTATTAAGGTTGAGATAAAGATGGGTCAAATGAGACAATTTACCTAATTGAGGTGGTATAGGACCGGTCAACTCTTTAAGATTACTAAGGTCAAGAAGTTGAAGGTAGGCAAGGTTACCAAGTAAAGGGGAGAGTGTACCTGACATGGAAGTGTCCAATAAAAAGTCGTCACCGGATTGGAGGCCGGACCGAGACACGTTTACTACTCGTCCGTTGGCGGGGTTGCAATCGACACCCTCCCACGCGGTGCAGCAGTCGGTTTTGGACACCCAAGTGCCGAGGAGCTGCGACGGGTCGTCAGTGATTTTGTGTTTGAAATCAAGTAATGCTGCTTTGTCTATAGCATGACATGACTCAACTAGTTGGAAATAATATGTGTTTACCAATAGTATGACATAAATGAGAGGAACAAGATTGTTAAAGTTTATCATGGTTGAATTATTGAGAAATGAAAGTTTAAATTAATGAATTGAATTTGGTGTAATTTATGTGATTTAGCATCTATTTATAGAACTAAGAAGCTTAAAATAAAAAAAATATATATATTAGAACATGGGATTTGATACGTTGTGCAACTGGGTAACGGAAGCAATAAACAAGGCAAAGCACATACCCCTAGAATTTTACAGTAGATTATTAGTTTTCTTAAGTATATATTTCCGTATTATTTTAATCATGTGATTAAGTGCCCCAAAGTAGCCTGACTTTATTATTTTAATTGTTTTGATTTTTATTATTGTGAAAGAAGGTCCTAGAGGACTCCTAGCTCCTAGTTAGATAGGTTTGAATGAGGTGTCAAAAATTGATCCGACCGATTCAATCTGATTTGAAAAAAAATTCAATTCAGATTTTAATTCACATGGACACAATAATTTAGCATAACTCAACTTTGAGATACACCCGATCTGAATTACCTAAATTCTACCCAAATATTCGAATTGACACCTCTAGATTTGATGGTTATTGGTTCTTCATTAATTTTAGCGATCTACCGTTCAATTGAATTGAATAATGGTTGATGATATGCATATTTTTTTTATGAAGATTGGAGTAAGATATTAGTAGGAAATTTTCTAA